TCATTTTAATTTTGATAAATGTAATATCTGGTCAATAAAGTTTTTAGCTCATTTCATACATTTTCACAATAGAATCCTAAATTAGGTTTATGCAAAGCTTATATAAGAGTATTTAAAAATTGTATCTGTTTCTAGATACATTTTAAAAATTGTATCTGTATCAAGATAACTTTTTAGACGATGTATCTGGATCTAGATAACTTTTTAGACTATGTATCTATATCTAGATCCATTTAAAAAGTATCTTTTAACAACTTTGGAAATATTATAAAATCTAATTAAATTATTAATATTTGTATTTACAATTATACAAATATCTTATATTATTTTAAACAATACAGTGAACCCGATTGAACCCGGGTTCAATTAAAATTCCCAGGTTCGGTTCGGGGTTTTGAAAATTTTATAAACGGGGTTCAGGTTCGGTTTCAGATTTTGGTTTTCTTTTCCGGGTTCGGTTCGAATCCCTGGTTTTATATATGTGTTTTTTGTTTTAATTATGAAATAAATGAAAATATTCTTTCCCTATTTATAATTCAAATGTAGGTTTGAATACAAAAATGTTCAACCGGTTTTTAGAGGAACCGAACCGATATTTTTATTTATTACGAACCGAATCTGAACCTTAAACCTTTATTTTTATTCGAACCTGAACCGATATTCGTTTCGGTTTGGATCCCTGGTTATATATAATAAATGGAAACCAAACTTAAATTTCATGGAATATTTACCTTAAGATTTCCGTCCTCCATGAACATATATAGCAGAGATGATTTACATATATTTGAACATTTATGTATATATTTTTTTGTTCTCTTTGGTTTTAAAAGGGTGGACAGGTTTAATAAATATTTATAAAGTTATAATTTTTAATATTTAATTAAATTTTTTTAAAATTTTATATTTTTTTTCGGTCACAGGTTACTTTATTTGAATATCAAAATGTAATAGCATATAATTTATTTTTTTAAAAGATAAAATTAATAAAGGTGGAAAATGTAGAAATTAGAACTATGCCATACTAAATATCGGATCGGATGGGCACCAATATCTCCAGTTTTCCAAAAATATCGGATCGGGCCGATACCTGTAAAACCCGATTCGATCTTTTTACTTTTCTTTTTTTGTTATATGTATATTTATTTTACATTAATAATATTTTATAAATAATTTTTTATTAAACAATGCAAATGCACAACGCCAGAGTTGTTAAACGCTACTTTAAACTAGCGCGCTACCGCTATTTGTCAAAAAAAGTAGCTCATTAATTATGATATTATATATAAATTTTTATGTTTATACTTACCTTCATTATATTTTTATTTCAAAAAAAGTAGCGCCCTAAAAAATTAAATAATTACAAAAAAGGTAGCCGCTATTAGCTATACCTACCAAAAAAGTTAGCGCGCTACTTTAACAACTCTGCACAATGCCTCTTATATTTTATTTATTTTTAAAAATAGATTTATAGTATTTTAAAAGTTTTTTTTATAAAAATAGAAAGGAACACCCAATTATTTATTTTAAACCTTTTTAAATAATGCCAATTTTATTATTTATACTTTAAATCAGGGACAAGAACCCGAATTCAAACCCTGAACCTGAACCCTCAATGTTTCGCTGAACCCAAACCCTTTTTTAAAATATAGGGTTCAGGTTTTAATTTTAAAAAATTTATATATTAATTATAAAAAAAACATTTTTTGATCATTTTTTCGTGTAATTATTTTTGTTATTTATTAAATTTTTAAATTGTAATGTAGTATTATAATTATGATGATAAATTATTTTTATGGTGACACTAATTAAAATAAATTTTTTAAAAAAATGATGTTTAATAAGGCATTATTTTTCTGGTCTCCGAACCCTGAACTCGAACCGGGTTCAGAGATTTTTCACTGAACCCAAACCCGAACCCATTTTTTAGAAGGAGGGTTCTCGTCCCTGTTTTAAATAAAAAAATTTTAAATATGTCTGAATTATGGAAATATTTTGCAAAAGATAAAGATAATTTTGCAAAATGCGTTATATATGCAATTCTAATTTCACAGGGAGGAATAAAGAAAAGTTTATTTAATACTACCAATATCAGTAAACTTTTAAAAAATTATTTTAAAAATTAAAAAATTAAATTAATTGCATAATTCGATTTTTTGCATAAAAAATATTGATTTCTTTATTACATTTGGTTCTAAGAGGGGTGGTGAAAAATCAATATAAATATCGGATCGGTTTTAAACCAATATCGGATCGGATCGGTGAAAAATATGTGGATCGGCAGAGCCCTAGTAGAAATATACGGGAAAGGATAGGGGATAAAATAGGAGAGCTAGGAATATGGAAGAGATAAAACTTAGATAGTTAAAGCGAATAATGGCGGTAGCAAGTCTTTGACGTAAGAAGAGGGATTCCTTAGGCTGATCAGTTTTTTCGCGAATCCGTGTGCCTAATTCTTTAAAAAAACTTAGAGCTTTGCTACCGAAGATGGTGAGAATGGAGCAAGCGATGGGTATGAATAAGAAAGAAGGGTCTAAGGAACTGTACTTTAAGATTTTTCGAGTTTCTGCGAGGGCAAGGGCATCGACGTTGTGTTTAGATGGTGCATTTGGGTCAATGCAGGTGAAATCCCAAACCAGGAGCTGACCCCTTGACCTTGGAATCAAAGACATTCCATCAGGACGTTTTCCATCGGTTCTAAAAATTATGGTTGGTTAAAGTTAGACATCATTTTTTAAAAAATTATAGTAATTTTTATTTGATTTAGGAAAAGATAAGTTAGTAGGTCCTTTTTTTGTTTTTGGATTAAAAGTATACATATATTTATTTATTAAATTTAATTTGTTTATAGTTAACTACATCATTTTATGAAATATATAAATCTTTTTGTATTAATGTTTTTAAGTTAAGTTGTAGCGAAATATTTTAATGTTTCCCAGACATAATTCCCGACAATGTTAAAGTAGTTATAGAGATTTTTTAAATTATCATTTGGAATGAGAATTTTTATCTTATTAGAAATTTGATCTCAAAAGATTTTTTTAATTTATAATTTTATTTAATCATTATTTTTTTAAAATCTATAAAAGTGGACTCTTATAGTGCACACAAATTGAGCGTTTCAAACGTTGCGTTGCAAACGTAACATTTTAAATAAGTTCATAAAAAAAGGATTTGTCTTTTAAAAATTATATTATCGTCTGCGTTCTTATATCTTTAATTTCTAAATATTCCTTTTTAGGATATAAGTAAGATATTTCATTTTATATAATATTACACAGCGAATAATAATAAAAAGTAATGAAAAAGCAAACCTATTTGCGTTTTTTAAAATGGTTGCTAACGCCAAACTGTAATTACCAATTCGCACGAGGTCATTTGAAATGCATTATTTGCGCTTAAAACGCAGTGTTTGAAACGCTCTATGCGCACTATTATGAATGTAACTATGACTTTTTTAAATTTACAAAATTTTACATAATAAATTTAAAATTATATAATTATCCTTAAGTTTAATTATATTTTATAAAGATTTTAAATAAAAATAATTAATTATCATAGAGGTTTAAAAGATGCATTATATTTTATAAAATTCTTCGGAAAATAAATGATAAAAATTTCTAATTTACAAAAAATCTTAGTTTAAAAAAAATGTTTACTTTTTTAAAAATAAATTATTAAAGATTAAAACATTATAAGCATTATTATATTAGTAATTTTATTTAAAAAATATAAAATATATAAAGTACACTTAATCGTTAAACAAGAAATAATTCCCCGGAAAAAACCTCAATTTGGGGAGGTTGGAGGCGTATTTTCGATATTTTTTTAAGAAAATATAGGGAATATTTTTCCCGGCCAATCTGTGATTGGATTATTAGGAAACTAAATATTATCGAAAACCAGATGTTTAGGCCTTTTTATAGTTTTTATTTGGCCCATCGTCAATTTTTATTTTTTTCGTTATTAACTTTTTTATTATAATTTTGGCTACTAAACTGAGTTGAAGCACTAATCGTTACTAACAAAGCACTAATGAATGACATATATGCTTCATCATTAGTATTTTCATTTTACCTTTTGAAGTGGCCAAATATTTTTGCTAATAACTTTTTTTCATTTTACTTTTTGAAGTGGCCAAATATTTTTGCTAATAACTTTTTTCCTTAATTTCGTCTAATGCACGTATTGAAGCTCAAACAAGCATTAAAAAATGGAAAAATCGTTAGTACCTTCAATCTATCTTATGTAACTATATTTATCTTAAAATATAACTACCGATTATTTTCAAACCCTTTTTAAAAAAATTGACCATACTCCATACCATGCTGGCTTGCTACAAACTCCCTAACCTTTAGCTAATTGCTCTTGCTGTCTAACTCTAAAAAAGGCCTCCGATAAATGGGTTCTGTCAGTATTCAAGTACATAAACCTGGAATAATTCAGATGTATTAGCTTAGCCTCTTGCCCATTATATTACTAGAATACCTTAAAATATTAATAAAAATGTAAGGAATCATTTTATTTAACGACCAAATTTTATTATACTTGTATATTAACCCTACACACGTATTCTTCCTGGCTAACTATATTTCTAACTCTTAGCAACTGCCAGGAATTCCGAAAAATGCATTACCCCGAGAATCGAACCACCGACTCATCAGCTATCATTAAAAAAATAACGATTTTTTTAATATATTTATTATTATTATTATTAAAAGTATTTTTCTTTTGTATATTCAAACTATAAGTAACATTACCCCATTATAACACTTATGTGCAATAGTCGTACACAGCGGCTCACATTATCATTAGCTACATATTTTATTTAGTTAAGATTGATACTGATATGTGGAAGAGATTAATATATTTTTTAAAAAAATCACATTTTTCTAAAAACTCATTTTATTAAAATTGGGGTATTATTTTTGTCCAGGATACTTCTACCCGATTACATAGTATAATATATTATTAATATTAAGACCATAATTTACATTTTTTAGGAATGATGGTTAGGCCAATTCTTTATTCGAGTGACGATAACCTTACGCTTCGTGTACCATGTCCTCCTATCCATGTCCTGCCTTGTCATCAAAGACTCAACTCTCCCCATATTGCTTTATCGCAGGACAGGTGTAGTGCTATTCATTGCCCAGTAAGTCTTTTTCTCTTATTTTTTAGCAATGCCGATATTAAATATCGGGGCAGGGCCAATACTTACAGTTAAAAATCTTATACCACCGATATATTTTAAAACCTTTGATATTTATGCACCCTTTAACATTATCCAAACTATTGCATGTTTTATTTGCACCAATGTATACAAAAAAAAACTACGGAGGGTTGTTAAAATGCAGCAGGCGTGATTAAATGAAAAATATATATTATACGCATTTTTACAAAATTATCTGAAATAAAAATCACTAGTTGCTTTGTTCTTATTCCAGAACTGGGTTATTCCATGTCAAATGAGCAAAAAAATCAAGATTTTCGGTCGACCCCTTTCAATTTCGATAAAAAGTTGTAGACTGGTTATATATGTTCCCATTAGATTATAAACAAAATTTTAGCGCATTAGCAACTATATTAGCGGAGATAATCGGGGTTAAAGGTCCAAAAAACGTCTTTTTTTGCTTTTTACTAATGTCAAATAATTAGTTTTTAATTTAAAACTAAATATGATCAAATATTGAATCTAATATCAATAGCTAAGTTAATAATTGATAATTATGGCTAAAACATCAAAATTAATTTTTGATAAAATATGGGTCATCTTATGGTCAGTTGAAAACTTGAAATTAATATTTAGAAATGTATATGATCTCCGATTTTTAATTTTTTTAAGAAATATTATCCGTTTATTATTTTTTTAATAATTTCTTCAACAATTAGGATGGCTGGATATTTATTTTAAAAAATATTGCGATTTTTATACTTAAAAAATAGACAATTGTCACTTTTCTATGGTACATCTTCACTAAATTTTTATTTAAAAATGTTTTTAATATTTATTTTAACATATTTTCTTCAAAAAAATTCAAAAAACTTTTAAAATAACGATTATGACAATTGTCACTTTTCTATGGTACATCTTCACTAAATTTTTATTTAAACATGTTTTTAATACTTATTTTAACATATTTTCTTCAAAAAAATTTAAAAAACTTATAAAATAACGATTATGATAATTGTCACTTTTCTATGGTACATCTTCACTAAATTTTTATTTAAACATGTTTTTAATACTTATTTTAACATATTTTCTTCAATAAAATTCAAAAAACTTATAAAATAACGATTATGACAATTGTCACTTTTCTATGGTACATCTTCACTAAATTTTTATTTAAACATGTTTTTAATACTTATTTTAACATATTTTCGTCAAAAAAATTTTAAAAATAACGATTATGACAATTGTCACTTTTCATTGTCTTCACTAAATTTATATTTAAACATCATATTAATACTTATTTTAACATATTTTCTTCAAAAAAATTCAAAAAACTTATAAAATAACGATTATGACAATGTCAATTTTCTATGGTACATCTTCACTAAATTTTATTTAAACATGTTATCAATACTTATTTTAACATATTTTCTTCAAAAAAATTCAAAAAACTTATAAAATAACGATTATGACAATTGTCACTTTTCTAAGGTACATCTTCACTAAATTTTTATTTAAACATGTTTTTAATACTTATTTTAACATATTTTCTTCAAAAAAATTCTAAAAACTTATAAAATAACGATTATGACAATTGTCACTTTTCTATGGTACATCTTCACTAAATTTTTATTTAAACATGTTTTTAATACTTATTTTAACATATTATCTTCAATAAAATTCAAAAAACTTATAAAATAACGATTATGACAATTGTCACTTTTCTATGGTACATCTTCACTAAATTTTTATTTAAACATGTTTTTAATACTTATTTTAACATATTTTCTTCAATTAAATTCAAAAAACTTATAAAATAACGATTATGACAATTGTCACTTTTCTATGGTAAATCTTCACTAAATTTTTATTTAAACATGTTTTTAATACTTATTTTAACATATTTTCTTCAAAAAAATTCAAAAAACTTATAAAATAACGATTATGACAATTGTCACTTTTCTATGGTACATCTTCACTAAATTTTTATTTAAACATGTTTTTAATACTTATTTTAACATATTTTCTTCAAAAAAATTCAAAAAACTTATAAAATAACGATTATGACAATTGTCACTTTTCTATGGTACATCTTCACTAAATTTTTATTTAAACATGTTTTTAATACTTATTTTAACATATTTTCTTCAATAAAATTCAAAAAACTTATAAAATAACGATTATGACAATTGTCACTTTTCTATGGTACATCTTCACTAAATTTTTATTTAAACATCTTTTTAATACTTATTTTAACATCTTTTCGTCAAAAAAATTTTAAAAATAGGGATTATGACAATTGTCACTTTTCATTGTCTTCACTAAATTTATATTTAAACATCTTATTAATACTTATTTTAACATATTTTCGTCAAAAAAATTCAAAAACTTTAAAAATAACGATTATGACAATGTCAATTTTCTATGGTACATCTTCACTAAATTTTATTTAAACATGTTATCAATACTTATTTTTGCATATTTTCGTCAAAAAACTTTAAAAATAACGATTATGACAATGTCAATTTTCTATGGTACATCTTCACTAAATTTTTATTTAAACATGTTTTTAATACTTATTTTAACATATTTTCTTCAATAAAATTCCAAAAACTTATAAAATAACGATTATGACAATTGTCACTTTTCTATGGTACATCTTCACTAAATTTTTATTTAATACTTATTTTAACATATTTTCTTCAAAAAAATTCAAAAAACTTATAAAATAACGATTATGACAATTGTCACTTTTCTATGGTACATCTTCACTAAATTTTTATTTAAACATGTTATCAATACTTATTTTAACATATTTTCTTCAAAAAAACTTATAAAATAACGATTATGACAATGTCAATTTTCTATGGTACATCTTCACTAAATTTTATTTAAACATGTTATCAATACTTATTTTAACATATTTTCTTCAAAAAAATTCAAAAAACTTATAAAATAACGATTATGACAATTGTCACTTTTCTATGGTACATCTTCACTAAATTTTTATTTAAACATGTTATCAATACTTATTTTAACATATTTTCTTCAAAAAAATTCAAAAAACATCTAAAATAACGATTATGACAATTGTCACTTTTCTATGGTACATCTTCACTAAATTTTTATTTAAACATGTTTTTAATACTTATTTTAACATATTTTCTTCAAAAAAATTCAAAAAACTTTTAAAATAACGATTAAATAACGATTATGACAATTGTCACTTTTCTATGGTACATCTTCACTAAATTTTTATTTAAACATGTTTTTAATACTTATTTTAACATATTTTCTTCAATAAAATTCAAAAAACTTATAAAATAACGATTATGACAATTGTCACTTTTCTATGGTACATCTTCACTAAATTTTTATTTAAACATCTTTTTAATACTTATTTTAACATATTTTCGTCAAAAAAATTTTAAAAATAACGATTATGACAATTGTCACTTTTCATTGTCTTCACTAAATTTATATTTAAACATCATATTAATACTTATTTTAACATATTTTCTTCAAAAAAATTCAAAAAACTTATAAAATAACGATTATGACAATGTCAATTTTCTATGGTACATCTTCACTAAATTTTATTTAAACATGTTATCAATACTTATTTTAACATATTTTCTTAAAAAAAATTCAAAAAACTTATAAAATAACGATTATGACAATTGTCACTTTTCTATGGTACATCTTCACTAAATTTTTATTTAAACATGTTTTTAATACTTATTTTAACATATTTTCTTCTAAAAAATTCTAAAAACTTATAAAATAACGATTATGACAATTGTCACTTTTCTATGGTACATCTTCACTAAATTTTTATTTAAACATGTTTTTAATACTTATTTTAACATATTTTCTTCAAAAAACTTATAAAATAACTATTATGACAATTGTCACTTTTCTATGGTACATCTTCACTAAATTTTTATTTAAACATGTTTTTAATACTTATTTTAACTTATTTTCTTCAAAAAAATTCTAAAAACTTATAAAATAACGATTATGACAATTGTCACTTTTCTATGGTACATCTTCACTAAATTTTTATTTAAACATGTTTTTAATACTTATTTTAACATATTTTCTTCAAAAAACTTATTCAAAAAACTTATAAAATAACGATTATGACAATTGTCACTTTTCTATGGTACATCTTCACTAAATTTTTATTTAAACATGTTTTTAATACTTATTTTAACATATTTTCGTCAAAAAAATTTTAAAAATAACGATTATGACAATTGTCACTTTTCATTGTCTTCACTAAATTTATATTTAAACATCATATTAATACTTATTTTAACATATTTTCTTCAAAAAAATTCAAAAAACTTATAAAATAACGATTATGACAATGTCAATTTTCTATGGTACATCTTCACTAAATTTTATTTAAACATGTTATCAATACTTATTTTAACATATTTTCTTAAAAAAAATTCAAAAAACTTATAAAATAACGATTATGACAATTGTCACTTTTCTATGGTACATCTTCACTAAATTTTTATTTAAACATGTTTTTAATACTTATTTTAACATATTTTCTTCAAAAAAATTCTAAAAACTTATAAAATAACGATTATGACAATTGTCACTTTTCTATGGTACATCTTCACTAAATTTTTATTTAAACATGTTTTTAATACTTATTTTAACATATTTTCTTCAAAAAACTTATAAAATAACTATTATGACAATTGTCACTTTTCTATGGTACATCTTCACTAAATTTTTATTAAAACATGTTTTTAATACTTATTTTAACATATTTTCTTCAAAAAACTTATAAAATAACGATTATGAGAATTGTCACTTTTCTATGGTACATCTTCACTAAATTTTTATTTAAACATGTTTTTAATACTTATTTTAACATATTTTCTTCTAAAAAATTCAAAAAACTTATAAAATAACTATTATGACAATTGTTACTTTTCTATGGTACATCTTCATTAAATTTT